AATTTTAAAACACGCTATTTCGTACACAGGGGGATCAAAACGCTGCAATTTATGTTTGGAAGAAAAATTTTGCATTTTGAAAGACATAAACAAAGACAATTTACGCAATAAAAGAAGCGAAATTTTCGGCAAATGTCGTCACAAAAACTGGTTTCGAATAAACATGCAAGGTCGTTAAAAAAAATTAATGACCCAAGCATGCATGGTTTCGCCTATAAGCATTGTTTCGCCTACACGCATTCCGCACATTCTTTCGATAGCATAAAAGCAACCTACAATTTCGAAATTTATTATCATTGGATTAGCAGATACCCCAAAAAGAAAAGACAACACAATTTTCTTAAGTTTGGCGAATTTGCACTGTAGAAAGACACCTACACGTCTCCATACAATCTCAGTTCCAACAATCGAGTACTCAATTCTATAATCATAGTTTATCTATAATCAAATTCTGAAATCATAATTATTAATTATTCATTAATATAGCCTATTCAACATAATGAAAACTACCATGTGATAATCAATTCTCAATAGTGAAAAAAATTAAAATTAAAGTTCTTATTTATCAGCAAGACATGCCTTCTGTCATTTTTGACACCAACAATTTGTTGTATTCAAGAACACTTTTCAAGGATTCAACAATAACCGATGAGCCTGCAAACCATGTGCGCCTACTTCCTTGATTATCAAATATATCCCAGAGAGCGCCACTTGCCATCTTTTGTGGTGAGAATCGCGGAAAGTATTCCCATATTTCTCTATGAATCACTTTGATTTCGGAGGCATTCATGCTTGTATAATGCTGTCGAAATATTTCATCAAGAGTGGACTCATCCGGTTTCTCTTTTCCATATTGGTAAGCAACTGCAGTTCGAATGTACTGGCCATCTGGTCCTCCGGGAAGGGACCCATTTTGATATTCTGGTCCATAATAATTATTATATGTACCGTAAGAGTCCCGTTGTTCCCATACTGCGTCCCATCGTTTCTTTTCAATGGTACTGAACCAGAAGTCTACAGGTGAGTCACCACGGTTGCCATACATGGAGTCGAATAGCGTTGTCGTACACCAAGCAGTAGTGAATCCAGAGAAGAGTTCTTTCTCTTTCTCACTGGGATCGATTAAATGAAGGGTGGCATATACACTTGGTGTCCAAATTAGAAAATCAAATTCTGCCCAATCTCTGCTGGTTGAGTATTTTATAAGGACCTTGTCGTTTCTTCTGTAAATTCGACTGATGTCAACATCGAAACGCACGTCAATATTCTCATAAGTCTGTATTTTCTCCCAGAGTTTCTGGTAACCGCCTTTAATCGTGTTGAACGGTGATTCTCCGCTAAACATAGCACCTGCCATTCCTTTTAAAAGGTGTGGTGTGTTCCATATTAAACCATACAGAGCGGATATTTCATCCAAATGACCAAAACCTTCTCCAGTGTGAGATATGATAAAAATGGGCTTAAGCATTGTTAGATCATTTTTTTCAATGAATTCTAGGAATGTGCAGTTGACTAAGTTCATCACACGTAGAGTAGGTTTTCTCATTAATTCTCCTTTGTATTTACCAAAAAATTCACGATGAAGACGGATATACTTAAGCAAGGCCATAAAAAGTTTTTCAGTAGCAACTTTTGGATCATTCGTTTCTGCTAATTTCATAGCTTCAGGAAGAACATATGATGAGTAACTAATCGAGGTAGAAAGTTTATCCAACCAAACGTTAAATGGAGGCATTTTTGCTGGTTCCCATAGCCCAAACTCTTCAGCCAGTGCTTGAACATTATCCTCAAAGTCGGGTTGAGTGCAGCATGCGCCCAGGTCATGTGCTGTATCACGATGTGTGATTGTTAAGGATTTGCCGCCAACACGTTTACTTTTCTCAAGCACTACAATATTTTGAAAACCTTTTTTCTTCAATAAATAGGCCATATGTATCCCAGCCGGACCAGCACCAACAATAGCGATTCGATCATTCAGACATTTCGGTGACGGGATACGTTCGGAGAAGGGAATTCCTTTCGGCTCCTCTGGAGATTCGACAAGATCAACGAGTTGTTTGTAAACCTCTTCAACAGAAGAACTTTCTGTCATTGACCATGTCATAAACTGGAAAAGCAATATTGTTAACGCGATGGTATTCTTTAAAAAAATCTGCAACAAAATGGAAATGATAAACGAGGTTTTACAATATATCAATACGTTTTACCAACCTAGCCATACTAGCTGCAAATTCTGCCTCGGTGTGGTTATATAAAACTAGTTCGAATCGAAGATGGCGGTCACGTTTCTTGCTCAAAAAAAGTTGACTTTATTTTGCCATGTTAAGTCTAGTTTTATTGCTTGTTTTTCGTTTGTATGTTTTTAACTAATAATAATATAACTGCAGTGGAGCAGTAGAAACAATTCTTGAATTTCTGACCTTCGAGAACTAGCTAGATGACTCCTATATGAAAGAAGTATTGTACAAGTTGGACCACCCCTTTCTCCCTTTTCGAGAAACTTATGTGCGGCAGATTGTTGGATTTTCTTTAAGAAAAAGTTCTGTTTGGACATTCTACAAATGTGTTTTAACATTCTACAAATCACGCTATTTTAGTATCATTGAGAAAATTCAAAGTGAGCAATGGACAACTTGCATGTTAGACTACATTCTTATCTAAGTAAAGAGAAGGGAATCAAACATAATAGTTAAAAAGAACATAATGAAATTAGTACAATTGCAAAATTTGGTTGCGAAATGTTGTAAAATTAATACAGAAAATATAGCCTTGCAAAGTTTGTATATTTTCAGTATATTTGTATTACGTGCAGAAATTGTTACCATTTTCGGCTCAAAAATCGCACATTTTCATTAGCGTATCATCACATCATGTTGCCTTTTTGGGACTGGATTACATTTGGAAGACTGTAAAATTGCAGTAATTGTGTCACTGTTTATAAGGTTAATTTCTTGTTGTAACACTCCTCAAAATGCTGGAAATAGCCTATCTGAGCTTCAAGAAATCCAAAATTTTCTGGGGGACATGCCCCCACACCCCTCCAGACGGTTCGGACCCTCGGTGCTCGACTCGGTTGTCTCCAAAATCCTAGTTACGGGCCAAATGCTTAAACCATGCATATATATATATGCTGGTTTCTCCAGGTCCCCCGCGGGAAATATGTCCCCCCCCCCAGTTACACATCCTTAAAAGAGGTCCTGATAATCATGACTTGTTTATGTATGGGGTTGCAATGAAAGACAAGTTTGTGTGGACATTGGTAACCAAGCAGTGTTGCTACGCGATGTCCTAAAACATTTTGATGAATTTTAACTATAGTATAATTCTAATAGTTAATTCGTTTTCATAATATATAAAAATGTATTCCATGTACCAGTATTGGTAGCTCTGTTTGAATAAAGTTTTTTTTATGTTTGTGGTGGTCTGTTGTACAAAATAACAGTAACTCCGAATAACATTTTGATTTTTAATCGACGTTTCGACTAGTTTGTAGTCATCCTCAGGATTAAGGATTATAAATTACGATTAAAAATCAAAATGTTATTCGGAGTTACTGTTATTTTATGTTTTCATAAAATACTGAGTGGTTCCCGTAATATAGACTCAACAAAACACGTTTTGAACATGCTAAGCTAGGACATTATTTCTCGTTTTTACAATTACATGTGCTTTCCTGATACCGATAAATAATGTAATATTTGGTGTTAGCCATAAGGCTATAATATATCTGATGAGTGCCACATCTTGTGGTACGAAACTAAATATAGTAACAAGACGCCAGCTGAGGTATTCACACTGTTCTCAAAATGACAACTTGCGCGGTAGGGTGTAAGTGTGCAATTATAGAGAAGGAGGTAGAGATGCAGAAGGCCTGGTTGACTTTGCAATAAAAAACAAGACACTAGCTCAACTGAGAAATAGGCACAATATTAGCGAGCTTAAGCAAGCCACGTTTTTGTCAACACGGACCTCAGATTGCCGAGGGGAGACTGGATAACGAATTGTGCTTGAGTCAGTTTGTGGTCATCTTCAACACATATGACAAAACATAAGATTTTTAAAGTTTTTTGCTTCCTTATACGAGCGCTATGATGCAAAATGCCGCCAAAATTAGTTACACCAATTTTCGGGCGACGTCCGTGTTGACAAAAACGTCGCTTGCTTTTAAGCTCAAAAAAGCTTAAAAGCTCATTATAAGCACAGAAACAACTCTAAAGCAAGGTCAGAAATTTGATTTATTTTTCATTATATCCAACCGGGATACCAGAGTTCAAGGTTTTAGTATGTGTACTCCACACTTCTGGCTACAACTACTAGTTACCACACTTTTGGTATCCAGGATGAAATCTACAGTACGTATATTACTCTGGTATTACGTAATCAGTCTATGCTCGAAATTACTTCATGTATACGCTAGAAATTTTTAATGTAACAAAACGAAACAAACCAAACCATAGACTGTAACGGCGTATTCTGTAATCGAAAGCCAAGTTCCTTGAATTTGGATCTAAATTTTGGTACGCCATTCGGTGGCTTAAACCTGTAGTATTTCAGGCATTTAAACAATCAAAGTATTGTGTTTTTAACGGAGATTTGTTCTGTGCATTTGTTCTGGGGATTTGTTCTGTTCTGTTCTAGAGTTAGAGCGGGCTGCGAAGATCGCAAGCACATATCAAATGACAGTATAGACATGAGTTTAGGTTTTTGTCGAGTGTCGAGGGTGGGAGGTTGACTGTCGAGGGTCCAATGTTGAGGGTAAAAAGTCGAGGGTCATATAAAAAATCGACGGTCATAAAAAAAAGTCGGGTATTTTCCGTATTTCACCCCTGCTATACGAAGTTCATACGAAGTTCGAAAATTTCTCGCCAATTTCATTGTTGTCAGTTGTTTTGAAAATACAAATGGTCTTTGGTTCGTATTTAAAACGAAATTATAACGTTGGAAATAAAACGAAAACATTTAAAACACATTTTGAGATAAGTAAAATTTATTCTAGTTTTATGTTTGCACTATAATTTTTAAAAATATCGCTTTTATACTGGTCTTTCGCGTGCTTATTTACATGTCGTCTTTGTGTGCATTTTTGTCACTCTGAGTAAGTCCATATAATAAACAGAACATTAAACGGTTGCGAGAAGATATGGATTTATGTTCTCGTGTCAAAAACAATATCTCACTCGTTCCGGCTGCGCTCACTCGTGAGATATTGTTTTTGCCACTCGAACATAAAATCCATATCTCTTCGCAACCGTCTAATATCCTATTTTTATTGTCGAACGTATTTTATATTATAATAATTTTTAACTAAATAATTATTTTAACTTGCTATTGGTAATATATTTCAACTGGAATTTTGCCTTAATATATTGCCATTACTGGCTTGAGGGCCTTGAGGATTACAGCTGCCTGTTAATCTATGTTGTCACGTTAATTTGATAAGAAAGCAAAGAGACCGTTCTTATATTAGACATAAACATGTTATTCGCTTAGAAAATCATCATTAAATTTACCCAAGGTAGTAGTATCTTTTAAACGTTAATATAGTAATTTCTGCCTACATATATGATAAGTCCATGTCACAACATTAAACAAATTATTTTGTCCGCGAATTTCTACCCTCGACAATAAAAATAAAATAAAATATTTTTTTTAAATACGACCCTCGACTTTTTATATATGACCCTCGACTTTTTTATATGACCCTCGACGTTTTACCCTCGACCCTCGACATTGGATCGCCGACACTCTACCTCCCACCCTCGACACAACATTTATGATTCCACCACAAATAATTTAGCGTGAATGGCAAATGCATTTTAGGACACAACACAACAATATCACGTAACATCTATTTTTGGTAACTTGGGTTTGACTATTAGCGCAAACGGTAAACTTGGAAAATCATGATTTTATACACAGACACGATCAGTATCAGCCCAATTTAACTGATTTCATTGCAATTTAATACGATGCTTTTTATTAGCGCAAACTGCCAGGCATACTGCAAACTTCAAGAATCACTAATTTCGAAAAACAACCCCTGCTCTTCTTTAGTGGTATACTCGTACAACATGGATTTTTACTGAAGTTGCACATATATATTTCCATAGTCTCGTGGACTTCAGCGTCTTGTTTTTGTACTTAGACCGTGCCACCATGCAGCGTTGATTTAGTGTTTTAAAGATAAAATAATGCCCGTTTACTACTCGGTTCTCTATGTAGGTACACAGCGTCGAAACAATTTACAGTGGAGAACATTTTCTATACAAGAAAATTTTTATTCCCCCCTGAAAGGAGTATATGTTAGTTTATTATATAGTAGAGAGTGAGATACTGAGAAATACACAGTGACATATTTTCCATATCTTCACTAGTGAAGATATCGATCACGTGACTTTTAGTATTTATACAATTTTTTGCTTGGGACTATATAATAATATTGTTTTCACCACTCGAAGATAAAAAGTCATATCTTCGCGCCGCCGTGTAATATCCTCTATATATTGCTAGGAAACATAAAATATATTGTACGCATGTTATACCGGATGGACACCACGTGATACTTTAAAATGATCAGCGCACTCGCAAAGACGCAAACATATTATAATATGGCTCAAATGCTACTTACCATTTTTCAAACGAGTTAATTGGACTCTCCTGAAACACACTCACGTTCTGAATATTGAGATGAGGTAACACTGGCGAGAGATAAACAGAGTATTAGGATAAGTAAATTATAATTATAAAGTACATATAGCGGAACCTCGCCTTACGACGATCTTACGACCACCCCGTTAATCATGGACATGATTTATTCTACTTCCTTCGTAATTTGCATATCGCCTTGAATATGGCTTCAACAATATAAACAGACAATTATATAACGTGATCTTGTTAATCGCAAATCTGAGAATAAAATAGGTCGTTTGCAACTTGCCTCAATCGCTGGCTGCAGAACAAAATCTATCGAAGTATTTAGAGTAATGTTGGCCTGATTTCAGTTATTGCCTATTCTGCATTTTCAATATTTGTACGAAGGGCCTTCGCTCGAAACGTCGAGTTTCTGCTTGTTTTTTAAGGTAGTAATATAACCACTCAGCACAG